GCAGAACTATAGAGATAGCTCAGGATAACCTGAGCCACTCTAACTAGAAGCTTTATCAAAAAGGAAAGTTTTAAGCCTAGCCTTAAAAGTAGACGGGGTGTCTGCCTCACGGACTAAATTTTTATTTTGGATTTCTCTTTTCAAATTGAGTTTTAATGATCTCTTTCTTTTTAATTAATGTTTTCAGGATCACATTCTTTACGCTTCTGGGAGGTTGGCTTTCCTCTGGACTGAGGGATGAAGACATATTTCTACTTTAGTAACAAGATTTTATCGGTCGGTTAGCTTGAAGAGAATTTGATCTATAAAACACAATCTGGAAAGAATGCAATTCCTTAAACTCCTTCTGAGAAAGAGAAATAAGAAGAAAATAAAATAAAATAAAAACCTCAAAGATAAATTTGTAGGAAAAAATTTAATCTGAGAAGACATTAAAGTTAGTCTCAAAACTGTTATATTTTTAGACATTTTTCAGTTTCATTTCTAGATTGAACTTTTTTCTACAGATTTCCATTTACAAAGCCTGTTCTTTACCTGAAAGAATAATGGAACAGAATTGCCTCCATACTGCTGCTGTAAGGAAGCTCCAGGTGTGACTCTAATGTTTGTCCTGCAGGGGGCGTCAGGTGACCGCAAATACATCGCCTCTCAGGCGCCTCTCAGCTCCACGGTGACTGACTTCTGGAGGATGATCTGGCAGCACCAAACCAAGGTCAGACCCTGCTTCCAGGAAATAGTCTGGTCCAAAGGGGCTCAGTATATTTAGTGAATGAGGTGTAACATTGGACCATATTTCTGTCCTCCTGCTCCAGCATTAGTGGGAATTTTTGAATCCGATTTCTTTCACGTTCAGCCGATTCTGTTAAAGTCTGTCTCCAAAATGTGTTTTTTATTTTTTAGGCTTCCAGAACGTCTTTAACTTTTTTCCCTGACTCCATCCTAAAGCAAAGTGTCCAATCAGGAGGAAGCTCAGCTGACCTTTAAGCCAATCAGATCAGATCTTTATTTCTGCAGAAAAGCATCAGCTGCCTCCACTAAAACCATCCTGATTGTTAATTTATGGGCTTCCCTGTAG